CAATGTTCTCGCCGCAACACGAAGGATTCTTGAATAAATCGCATTTTAATAATCACCCACAGCTAGAGAATAGACTAAGCGAATTTCATGCTGGGATTAAAAAAAAATCGAGAGCTTTAAAATGTGACTAACTGACAGAAACTGTAAAGCGATCAAAGGTCTGCATGCCAAATGCTGCATAAATATTCGCCAGTTTCGAGTTGTTAATTGCAGTGCAACTGTGGATTTCAGCCCTAATAAATGAATCACGCAAATAATGAAATTTATATTTAGAACGCGTAGCGTGATTCACTAGTAACTCACGCCAAAATCGACGCTAAATAAGAAGGCTGTTACTGGAAGGCAACAAAGTTTACTTGTGAATTTCTATGTTTACTTCAGGTGTCAACCGAACATATCATTCGACATGGTCATCGCGAGTCTAATACACAAATTATGCAAATACTGAACAGTCTTCAGTTTCTACGGCATAAGAGACCAAAAATACCATTATGAATGTAAGGTAACGAAGATGAAAGTCGAATTCGACGCTGCCTAGGCTATATGTTCACGCTAACTGGTCACGGCTGATAGTGACTGTACACTTGCATGAAAATTTTTCCAGCTGAAGATAGAATACTACACAACGCCTCACCACTACTACCAATACTACTACATAAACATTTGAAACATACCTGCTTTTACTGCGATCCAACAAAAGAGAAGAAACAAAAGTCCACTTTGTTGATGAACCATAGTAAACGTGGATTAGTGAAGCGGTTAAACTGTGCCAGCGGCGAAGTCTGTATTTTCCATCAACGAAATACACAAAACAGAGGTTGACTCCAAATATTAGGTTTCCTTCCCGCGCTCTCGCGAAACGTGCGAAGTCCCTTCTTCTGTGAGAATGTTATGCACTATGTCGCGTGGACTAAAATAGTTGTCGTCTATTTACGTAACGCAGCAAAGGAGCTTTGACTTGTCCCAGATTAATAATTATTGCTGCTCACGGCAAGTCAACACAGCCTTGGCAGTCGATCGATCGTCGCGAAGGAAATCAAATCCCTCCGATCATCCAAGATTTCACTCCTATTTCTTTCAAACCCTTCCGCTCGCGAGGCACTCGCATTCTCGTCAATACACTTAAACTAAAGTGGTCTGCGCATTTCTGGATTTCCTCGACGAGAACAATTCTTCGGATGATTCAAACTTTCAAACGGAAACACAACATTGTCGATGACCACTCTACACAAAGCACAACAAAAGCTATAGGTCACGTGTATTGTGCAGAGTGATAGGATTGGTTAATAATTAAAAATATTACCCTAAGAACAAAGAAAGGATTATGTGACAATCAAATTCTTTATCCTTTGAAAAAACAAAATATTTGCATTTCAAAAGAATAAAACTGCACATCCAATATATGACACATTAAAGCATTAAGTGACTCGTCTGAAAAACTCATTAGAAAAACTATTTCAAGTAATTTGTGGCAAAGTTTTGGAATTTTCAGCGGAAAGTTGCTCAGTTTCGAAGAAGTCTATGTTTTTTCTGAGTATCATAGCACTTTTCTTCGTGAGATAAGTGAGCCTTATTTCTTGGTGGGTCAGTCGCTAAATTGTTGCGCACGCGAATAAAGCAAGCCGATAATTACATTCGCTTGCTGTTTTCATGTGGGCGTACTGATTATTACTCAGCACCCACTCGAGCTCAAACTTCGGACTTCAGTAAAATTCAGTTTACATTGCAACACTGGAGACAACGTATTACATAAAGCACCATGCTGAGCCAGTTGAACCTTGACTGCTTGGAGCAACTTTTATCAATATTCTATCGACCTTTTAATATGGTTCCCACAGTTACTACAGGCTGCAAATTCTGTTTCTAAAAGCCACTGGACCGTTGCCATAAGAATACCTGGATTATTTGTCATTAAGAATATTCTTTCTCGGAAAGCCAATACGAAGTTGACGATGTCTCGTCAAGAAAAAAAAACTTGCAGAGTTAAAATCATGTACAACCGGCTATTATAAAGAACTAATTACCAAGTGGCAAATCACACACGCAGGGGTGTTTTGCCGCGGAATTACACAAAAACAATGCAAAGCAAATTGATTTGGTCTTTTGAAAGAAGCAGTGCAACTAATGCTTAGCCACTAGCTATGGATTTGCTCAAAGAAAGGCCTGATGGACTTGATTATCCACTCAACACGACGCACGCTTTGCTTGCAGCTCATAAGTGTGTCAGCCAACGTTCTCTTGGCACTGCGCAGTGCCACTCAAAAGTTAATTTGCAAGATAAATGATAATTTGCGAGATTGATAGAAAGTTGTTGCAATCATGACAACAATACCGTATGTTGATTGGTGGGACTGATTAGACACGACGTCTGGATCAGCTGCATACCAGATAGAAATTTAATAACCTACAGACTAGAACTGACGGATACTCAGTGTTTGCAAACATCACGTTCTACTACAGCAGGAGTCAAACGGTGCACATTTACTTTCAAGAGTTCCTTCAGTCCGTCTCATAACGTTCAAAAGTGACAATCTATAAAGGGGGGAGGGGTGGGGGTTCAAAAAAACATTGTTTTCTATATTAGCTGTAACTGGCTCACAGCTGTTTTACGTTGACAATGCTATGAGTTTCACAAAAAAATGAGTTCGCGCCTCATTTATTTGTCGCTTGAGAAATTTGTGATCACTCTCAAAGTTGTTGAAAGAATCTTTACTTTCCCGGGCGGGGTTCATGTTGAAAGGTCGACTGACCATGATAGGGCGGAATAGTGGGAGCAATTCCTTTCAATGTGCATGCGACAGTCCAGTTTTAAAATTTAGCCTTTGATACGAGAGCACTATTCGACAAGGAACTAGGCTCTGTGGCGTATCTTTTACAGGGTATGTTTGTGGTTTGCTACTAAAAGCGTGCTATACTCGCATTTAGGGCGGATATATATGAGCTAAAAGTCAATAAATGCTGCAAATTTTGTCATGTCTAAGCCACAGTCAGCATGAATTCTCTGGCCAGGGGTGATCATGAGTGAAAACTCCACAAAGGCTTAAATTTGTCCCTCTGTGTTTGTGCATTTGAATTAAGCCAGAAGGGCCCCAAGTCGCACTGCGGAGTGTGCGGCAGGCACGCGCGGGACATTTTCCATCGAACTTAAAATGAGGTAGAACAACTTAATACAAAACTTGTGAAACTAAACTGAACAAATTAAAACGATAAATAGCAATAAGCTAGGTGCAAACCGTTCTTGCAGTTAATTAAAAATCACTGAATCAAAACAAAAAAACAACAAAGGTTACACTCTGAATTAGATGAGTTCTTCCTAATTCGCATACTAGTCAAACCCCCTCCGTTTTGGGTTTATGGTTTTGGTTTTCTCGGATTTTTTAAGTAAAATTCATCGAAATACTCATGTCAGAAATAAAGCTCCTGAGAAAATAATGTTGCGCGGAAACCGTTCAAAAGAGCTTTTGAATTAAGCGTGTCTTTGTCAAAAGAACAAAAAGGAAACCAGCAGGAGCCCGATCCACGGTTAACTGGAGTTATTATTCTGACCTCGGTTTCCATTTTTTTGACACGAAGACGGCTGGTGACTTGTTTTCTTTGTGAGGATGCTGTACATCAAACTGTGTATCATAAAGGATTTGTCGACTTCGGTAAACTTTAAGTGCAAATTTTGCTCACCCATCGAGTAATTGTAAGCACTCTTGCTCAAAGGTCGATGTCTTTTAAAGCAGCGGTTGGCAACGAACGAAAGACGCCGGAACTATGGTTTTGTCTAGAGAAGAAAGGATTAATTAATTCTGAGATACAAGAGAAGTTTAGAAGGAAAATTCGTATACGACGGACGCCAAACATAAATCCGATAAAAGACACGAAGACAGCTTTCCGTCAACAACTGATTTATCGGAAAATTTGTATCACTTGGCGATAAAATCTCAGTGGAGGAAGCCAAGACTTCCGTCTAAAAATCTGTCCAGGAATTAACCAGTCCTAAAACGGCAGAAACTCGATTGACGCCAAGAATAAAACTTTAGAAACTGAATTCTGCTGTTAGACCGTTATTTTCAAATTAGTTTTTAGAAAGGAAAAGCACACATTCACTAGAGCAAACAGATCGGGGATTCCGGCTGGTGATTCTGAGAGAGATAAGACTCCATCTTGCTGTGACTCGCTTTATAACCGACGTCGATTTATTCCAGTTACAAATAAATTCAGCGGGTTAGATGGATTAGCTCTTTTTATCTGAATTCGACCACTGAACAGTAATCCCTGGATCGATAACCGCATATAGCGTGTTTGCTCATTTTTACATGGGGCTTATTCGACGATATGCCGCAAAAACAACAAAATATCATTGAGCTGTCTCTTGAATTACTCACGTAGTGATATGGCGCATGAAACAATGTAATGAAAAGAACAACGAGCATACATGAATGCCAAATAAAGTCAGAATTGTTTCAATATCAGTCCATTTAAGCCTTATGTTAAAACTGAAACCTCATGAATAGCTGTAAATAAAAATCAGTTGGCTTACGACATACGAATTCGCGATCAGTTTTTGTTCAGGAATGAAACTAACCGACGCATTTTTTAGCTTAAACAAAACTTTTAGCTTAAAAAAAACTAAGACATATCATTTATAACTAAGGTATAANCCCTGTTCTAGTGAAAATACAGCTATAAAAGGTTTGACCCATTATCTTGAATTGAAAACCAAAGAAAAGAGATACATGTAGCATTGTGAAACAGAAGACACTCTTAATTATCTTCCTTTGACACATGCATACATGTAGCTTGTTATATGCATGCCTCACATATATTTTTACATGCAGCCAAACATATGCAAAATAATACAAATTTACATCAAGATCAAATATAGAAATTAAGAAATGCTAACTT